CATGGCACATAGCAACAACAACAACAGCCTTGATCGGAACACCACTTAAGTATTCAAAATGGCTACACTGTCAGGCTGGTTGACAGTCCATAGCTCGATTTGTTTCCTTATTTGCTTTTATCTTTCAATGTCTTCTACTAGTTGGTATTTAGTTCACTTCTTTATCCTTCTCTTTGGAGCGCAGGGTTCTGGAATTATCATCTGTATCTGTTTCAATTAAGTTTTCGTTTCTCTGTTGTGGAAGGTCTGGGTAGCTTGTTTGCCTATTCTACCATCTTGCCAAAAGTCCACCCTGTTTCAGTTTCCCACACCCCTACTCCTTATATTCACATCTTGGTCTTCAAGGTATTCTTCTAGGAAAACCTAAAATGAGATGAAGGAATTTCTGTTTCCTTAGATTCATTCATCCTTAATTTTATTCTAAGGGAAACAGTATTGGTCATTAATACACAACTTAGAAAACTTATTATGATTTCGATATTCATTGTGACCATTTTCTATTTCTGAAGCAGATTTTTAAAAGGTTAACGAGATTAGCATCAAATGTAATTATATTTCAGTGCCTCTTCAGTTTACATTCCAAATATTTTATACATTAATTATATTAATTGTTTTATTCATTTTGAAGTAGATAAGGTTATAAGTTATGAGAATCGTTGCTGTGTCATTGAGTTTAAACATACGGAAGTACAGATTTTTTTTCACTTGTTTATCATAAAAAAATATTTACTAAGTCATAAAATGAATGAAGTATTTATGATTTTGGGGACAGGAAAAGCAAAACAGCTTTTTAAAATTTTTCTATAGGTGATAGAAAAATGTGTTAACATTTAAAAATTTGTTCAGATTGACATCAGCATCCATATCTATTGTATGTAATAACATTTTTTACCAAAAATTTTATAGGCAGACAATTGAATGCATGGCTTCTCAGAAAGAACTTTTCTTGGAGTGTGTTTAAAATTTTAACCTATGCTTGTTATTCATTTCCATACAAGAAAAATCAAGCGCATTATCACTGAGTCGATTCCAACTCATAGTGACCCATAGGGCAGAGTAGAATTTCCCCATAGGGTTTCGATGGCTTAATCTTTTTGGAAGCACACTTGCACATTTTTCTTCCTCAGGGATGTTGGTGAGTTTGTACCACTGACTTGATTAGCAACCGAGCACTTAAGCATTGTACCACCAGGGCTCCTTCCTTTCCATATAAAAAAAATCAAACTTAACGGTGTTTCAGCCATTGTGTTTTCTTCCCAAATTCTTGTAAGTTTTTTTCTGTGTTTTCTTTGATCTGTCTCTCAATCCTTTGAAGATACCTAAAGATAATTCTTTTGAATTCCTTATCAGAGAGTTCCAATGCTGCTTCTTCCTCAGG